ATCAGCCCAGAGCCCGACGCGGGGCTCGAACTCATGGACCGCGAGATCGTGACCTGGCTGAAGTCGGACGCTTAACCGACTGCGCCACCCAGGCGCCCCGGCACATCAGAAGTTTTCTATGGGATTGTGTGGTACCTCTGCCTGTCTAGCAAAGTCCAGTGATGCTTCCAAGGTCATTTTTTTCTCCCCAATCTCCATATCTAAGTAAGTGGGTACTGGAAGTAAAGTAACTCCCTTTCATTTGACCAAGTCTTCCCTCCAGTCACTCTCAGGGAAAAAGCTCAGCGATTACATGTCTGTTGACCACAGGGCTGTGGCATGAATCACATGCCAATACATTTGCACTGAATTTTGGCATCTGTCTCAGACATTTTCTATAGTAGGACATCTTCCTGTTCCCTACAAAATCGGGATCCATGTTCATAAGTTTCTTCCCACTGACTCCTCCTTTCCATAAATATCTACACTTATGTCTGTGAATGAGCCTGGAGCTTTTACTTCTGGCCTCTCTGCCTTTTCCCACTGAAGATCAGGCACATATGGAAGGTTCTATAACCTTCATTTGCTGCTGAAAATCAAAGTGAAATAAAAACTTTCATACACTTGCTCTGTGTTACTGCCTGAATTGAACCGGTATAAAATGGTTCTCAATGATGCTGATATGTTGTTATAAAAAAAAAAACAAAACATTGTTTTATCCTTATATTTCATGTGTACCTTTTTTTTTTTCAACGTTTATTTATTTTTGGGACAGAGAGAGACAGAGCATGAACGGGGGAGGGGCAGAGAGAGAGGGAGACACAGAATCGGAAACAGGCTCCAGGCTCTGAGCCATCAGCCCAGAGCCCGACGCGGGGCTCGAACTCACGGACCGGGAGATCGTGACCTGGCTGAAGTCGGATGCTTAACCGACTGCGCCACCCAGGTGCCCCTCATGTGTACCTTTAAAAAAAAATTATTGTTTATTTTTGACAGACAGAGACAGTGAGAGAGAGAGCACATGACCAAGAGAGGGGCAGAGAGAGAGACACACACAGAATCTGAAGCAGGCTCCAGGCTCTGAGCTGTCAGCACAGAGCCCAACGCGGGGCTCAGACCCATGAACCGTGATATCGTGACCTGAGCCAAAATCAGACACTTAACTGACTGAGCCCCCCCAGGTGCCCTTCATGTATACTTTCAGTAAAATGACAGAGAGTCATCCGGCAGAGACTAAATATTGTCCGTTAGGTAGTGAGAACAACTTGAGGGCTCAGATAGGAATCAGAATTCCTGATTCCTTTACCAGCTTTATTATCTACCAGACTGAATTTCACCATAGTGGAGATTGTTATACCACTCATTTTTTTTTTGTATGTCCAGAGGCATGGCATGAGGCCTGGTACATAAGGACACTCAGATGGTTAAACTGAAATAATACGTCTTTGTTTCACTCTTTCCAAATGTAGCTTTTGGAGGGATTTTTTTTTTCCTTGGGCCTGTTCTATTTCTGCTTTCAGTTCTAGGGAGCAACTGACCAGGAGATCCCAGGGAGAGCAACTGTGGAGACCGTGCTCCAGCTTAAGGGAATCAGCACATCCAGGCCTCTTTCTCTGTCATTGAGTCGAACGAAGCAGGGGTGTCTGTGGCACAATTCCAATTACATTTAAGAGAATACCTCACTTTGGCAGGCTTGAGAATATTATACTTGTTATTAGCAATTGTTGGGAGCAGTCTTTCAAAAGGAGATTATCATCAGTCAGTGTGGCTTAGATAAAAAAGAGGATTTGTGATGCTTTTGAGGAAAAACCTGTGGAAAATTTTACTGTAGATGGAAAAGAGAAGGGTTGCTGGAAGGCAGACTCTAATACCAAACTAGAAAAACATGGCCTGTGTGGTGCAATGTTTACCAAGATGGCTGTTAACACTTCTTCCCAACCTTATGCGTATCTTCCACTCATATCAAGTGGCGAAGCCTATGATACCTCTCTTTGAATTGGGGCTGGCTCTTTGACTTACTCTGACCAACAGAATGGGGCATAAATGACATTGTGTGATTTCTGGGCCTAGGCCTTAAAGGCCTTATAGCTTTTGTTTTTATCTGCTCAGAAGCCAGTTGCCACGTAAAGAAGTCCAGCCTATCCTGCTAAGAGGCCACTTGGACAGAGAGAGCTGTAAAAAGAGAACTTCTGTGGAGGAGAAATTATGCTCCTCAGATGACAGGCAGCACCAACTGCCAGACGCGTGAGTGAAGCCATCCTGGATCCTTCATCCACAGTGGAGCCTCCCAGTTGACACCACACAGAGCAGAGGCGAACCATCTTGTCAAGCCCTGCTTCAGTGCCGGGAGAATCACAGCAACAAAATGGTCGTCGTTCATTTGGGGGGTTAGGCAGCCACAGGAAAACTGAAACAGCTCCAAAGACTGGCCAGGTGATACAGTGACTCCTACTGACATTTTTGTGGTGGCTTTATTGCTTATGGCAGTGCAACTGGGAATACATGCATTTCTGAGATTGCCTCCATCAGACAGAACATGAGAGCACATCGTCAGGTCTTCCTGCCTGTGGACCATGGAAAGGAAGGGCAGGTTCTCAGCTCAGAGCCAGTCCAGTACTTCCACCTGGTTGGGCTTGGCACCCAGCGGCACAAAGATAAAAGGATGAATCACCAGGACTGTGGGATCAAGTTTTCTTAGGGGCATGCCTCCGTGAATGAGTTGGTAAGGAAGGGCTTAAGGAGGTCCTGGGTAAATTTCTAGTTATATTGCAAGAATGGCCGTGCTTATGGACGATGCCTAAGATTGAGGCTGTGTGCTAAATTTGGACGTGGTGATTCTCAGGTCTGGAACCTAGATTCCTGTTCCTGTTCCGCGTCAGTCCCTTGCCTGTTACTCTAGTCTGTCTAATGGGAAGACCCGGCCTTGCTTTTCTCAGTCTGTCTTCCTGGGGATTAATATTCTGGCTTGAACCTGCGTGCTGCCAATGTTCCAGCCGGCCTACATCTCTGAATATCACCTGTTCAGGACTTCAGCCTGCTTGTCTGTCCAAACTCCTCTTCTCTTCCCATTAAGACCTCCCTGCTTGCCTGGAATACCACCTGTTGTTTGTTGACATCTGTATTGTACCAGGTTCCATCTGTTTTCTTCACTTCCTTATAGCTCCTGGAATTTGATTTTTCTGCTTCAGTTCCTTCCAGGTCATCACAGAATCTGCTCCATTCCATTGAAATGTTGTAAGGCTGTATCCACGACACAATGTCTAATTCTTCCACACGATGGCCTTTAGATATTTGATAACAACCTTCCCATGACCTTTGATCATCTCTTTAGCCTAAATCTTGGAGGCTCCCACATTATCAAGACTACCCATCTATGGATATAATTTAGCTTCTCAATATCCCACTTAAAAGGTAGCTTACTGAAGTGATTCACATGCTTCAACAGAGAACGTAGGGATATCATTTCCTCTGACAAGGGCATCATATTTTATCTGCCATGACTTTATTTGTGTTATTATTTTGCGTTAGCATTTTAGAGGGTTTCATCAGGTCTAGATCAAGGTTTTATGGGCTCTAGAGCTTATGTAATTTTAGTGACTCTCTTTAATAAAAAAATTTTACAAACATACAGTTAGTTTAAAGGTGTGTAGAAATGAGGGATCCTGAAGCTTAGGTTTTGTTAGTTTTGTTGTAAATCTGCCTCCAAATTCCTAATAGTATCGTCTCATAAAATTCCTGGGTCTTTTAATCAGAGCTGCTAATCAGGTTTCCTTTTCATATTAGTGCGACTTATTAAGTTAACTTGAGTACTTAGCATATGGAGGATTCAGTAAGTTCACATACATAAGGGACTTAGAACAATGCCTTGTACATAAAGCACACAATAGATGTTAGCTATTATTATGTTTATTGCTTACTAGCAGGACCTGAGCAAATAGTTTGTCTTCCTGACTCAATTTTCTCTTTGATGTATTGGAAATAATACTTTCCCTATCCTTTTTATAAAGTTATTGTGAGGATCAAACGACAAAATATGTGAACGGGCTGTGTTAACTAAAAAGCACCATGCACACGGAGGTATTGTAACTGAAGTTTCATTCGACATTGCTAAGGTTATGTTTAGAAAAGACTTTGGCCGAGGGAGAGTCACTAAAGCCCTCAATAGAAGAGGGAGGAAGCAAAGAACAAGAAGTGCATGTGAGGCAGATGCTGGAGGACATCCTTTTTTGATATGCCAACGTCAAGAAAAGATGAAATATGTAGAAGCTGACAGAAAGTGGTGTAATTATATAAAAGAAAAGAACTGAGAGGTATCGTGTGTGTGTGTGTGTGTGTGTGTGTGTGTGTGTGTGTGTCTTTCCACAACTGGCCTCAACCTAGGTCTCCAGCCGCTTCAGCCTTGTCCTGCTCTGCAATCCAGGCTCCCAGCCTCTGCCTGGAGAAATCTTACTCAGACTTTGGGTTCATCTTAAAAGTCCCTCCTCTGTGGGGTTTCCCCAATCCCTCCAGCCTCTCCCACAGGAAGAATAAATGGTTCCTTTCCAATGCTCTTGCTGCGAAAGCATTTCTTCCAGTCTAGACCGAGGGGGCCCCCCTTTTCCTTATTTCCGTGTCTCTAGGCTCTAGGGCCTACCCTTGGGTCTGCTTCCGAATAGATGTTCAACAAAGGGTTAGTCAATGAACGCACTTTGGAGAAATAACTTTTAAAACTTGATAAGAAGGACTTAAGGGCGGGTGAAAGCCTGGCGCACTGGCATTAGCCGTCATTAACCAGGGCAGCTCTGCTGGCGAGACGCGTCTTTCCAGCCCTGGTACCCGGGCCACCGCGCGGGGCGAATCCCGCGGGAAGGGCCGCCCCGGGGGTGTGGCCTGGGGCGGGGGCGTGGCGAGGCCCGCGGGGGTTTCCGCGCCGGGGGCGCGTCCGGCGGGGGCGCAGGAGGGGCTTCCGCCGCGAGGGGGCGGGGCTGGCGCTCCGAGTCCTCTGACGGCCCCAGCCAGGGAATTTCAATTTGAAACCGAGCGGAGGGAGGAGGCGGTTGCGGCGGCCCGGCGGCAGGGGCTGGAGCGGGACCAGTTCCCGCAGCGAGCGAGCCCTGGAGGTGCAGTGTCCGGGTAAGGAGGCTTGCGGGGCTGCAGAATGGCGGGCCCGGGCCGGGGGAACCCGGGCCGAGAGGCTGGTCTCTGCGGAGCTGCAGGGGCGGCTCGGATTTTTCCTCTGGCTGCAGCTGGGAAGCCGATCCCTGGCAGGAAGCGGTGGCGGGACGGTCCCACCGTGGGGGAGGGCGACCGGCTTTGGGATTTTCTGCGGCTACGTCTCTCCTCTCCTCCTCTTCTCTACCGGACCCCATTCCCGCCTCGAGGTCCGGGTCCTGTTGCTCCAGGCCGGATTCCCGCTTCCCCGCTCCGCTTTGGTCCCCCGTAACTCCCTTCCCGGGAGCCGGGGCCACGTCTGGTCGGAGCCGGGAGGGGGGGGGGCATGGTGAGGACTGCGCCGGTCCCGCCGAGGTGCCGTGGTTCAGGGTCGCGCGTCCAGGGCCCCGCTGAGAGGCTGGAGAAGGAATCCGACTCCATCCCGGGCGCGGGCCGCGGAGAGGGAGCCGATCCCAGCGTGGAGCACAGCACTGGGGCTCCGGGGAGGGGGCGGCGGCGTCCTTCAGGGGGATGATTTGCGGTGAGGAAGCACGGGCGAGGGCGCCGCGCCTTCCCGGACAGGCAGCGCGCGTGGGCTCTGCAGGTTGCTGGGCGAGGGGGGCGCGCCAGCCCCACGCGCCGCGCCGTCCGGCCGGGCGTCCGCCCGCGCGCGCCCCCGTTGCGGTCCCCGAGGAAGCCGGCGGCCGGGGCCGCTGCGGAGAGGGGCGCACGCTTGCGCTCTGGTCCTTACAATTCCTACACGCAGGCGGTCTCTGCACGGATGGCTTGTTTGCCTCCGCCGGGGCTGGGGACACAGGGCTGGGAGCAGTTTTAGGTGAGCTGCCGGGGGAAAGACGGGAAGAACCGAACCGAACGAGGCAGCTGGCTTGTCTGTGGAGGTGGGGGGTGGGGGACATCGGTCTTTACACTTCTCAGGATCGCTCACCTCCCCTGAGGTCCGGGTTTTTGGGAGAGATTAGAAGAGCTCTCGCCTACAGTCTATTATTTTTAGGGGAGGTCTCTTGTGGGACCCTAGGATACCTTAAATTGAATTCCCCGTCACCACAACCGCTGCTCCTGTTTTTAAGAGGGAGAGAAGGTGGAACCCTAGAGGAGCGGTGGATGTGTTTTTTTGAGTCACATCTTTCCCTCAGTTTCTTGAACTTCTTGCCTCCGAAATGGTGTCTCTGGGGCGTCGTTGGGCCAGGAGTCTTGTTCTTGGTACTGTTATTTAAGCTTTTTTTTTTTTTTTAATAATTCTTACAGTTTTCCCTATATTCTTCCATATTCTTCCGTTCCCGCTTTATACCCCCCTCCCCGCTCCCCCCTTTCCCCCTTCTCTTCCCGGAGTGCATTATTTCTCTATTCCCTAACGTGAGAATTAGCATTTTAGCCGGCGTCTGTCACGTTTCACCTTGGGTTTAGCACTTGAGGGAAACCGAGTCAATTTCTTGGCGCGCAGGAGCTGGGATGTAGGATTCTCAGGCTTTGGATAGGTTTTACTGGGAAACGAATAGCACTTAATCCTGTTCAGATTCTGTTTGCAGCCTCGTTGCTGTGAGAAATCACTGGGTTGCCGTTGCAGCGGCTGATGGGGCTGCATTGCAACGCAATCTTGGATTGTGATAAGGGCCACCGACTACGTGGATCGGGCGGACAGAAATTTTAAAGAGCGAAGCTGTGTCACCTGGCAGGGCTTAAGTGATCAGTCCTATAATTCAATTTGAGAACCGCTATCAAACGTCAGATAATCTACTCCTTGGAGGTTATTGGAGAACTGTACAAGTGGTAATGACTTGGCACAATGGTGTGGATTTAGGGCTCATTTAATCCTATCCTGTCTTCCTCACTTCTTGGGCAGAATTCCCACTGAAGTCAGTAGTGGTGTTGTGTGCACAAGGACCGCTGAGAACAAGAGGCTGCTCATTTAGAGTAATGGGAGGAGACAAGTTCTTTGCTTCTAAAACACCCTTCTTTAAGAAAGACCTAGTCATAACAGTTCTTAATCTTTTACCTCTAGTCCCAAATAGCGGGAGCACTGTGTGCAAAGACCTACCAGAGAAAATAGGTGGGTGAGTTGAGCCCCAGCGTCAAAATTGGTATCTAAACGGGACGGGGATTGCTTAAAAGGATTACATGCGATAATTCAACAAAGTTAGAATTTCAGTGAAATTATTATTAACTTGGGCGAAAAAATTTAAACTGCTGTGGAATATCGTTAACCGGGTACGTAATTATAAAATTGGGTATGTATACAGAGCTGGGTGTGTACGCTAAAATCAGAAATTCCATTCCAAGTAGAAAGAAGCAAATTTGCCGATTTAGGGGATGCATCAGAAGAGAGGCCCACCAAAAAGTGACTGTGCGAATGTAAGACAAGGAAATTCACATTGGCTCTCACTGTATCTGGAGAGGTAGCTTTTACTACAGTTAGTGTATATACAGGTGTTAGTGACTCTGCGCTTGTCATTAGATTTGTGAGCGCCCGCTGGTTTCCAGTTTAGCTTTGTGCTGATCTGAGTTGGTGAGCTTACTGGGTCCTTTGCTTCTTGACGTAACGTTCCTGTGGTTTACCCTTTCCAAATTACCAGTTCGAAAGAATCGAGTTTAGAAGACCTATCCAGTCACCAGATTTTAAAAATAGATTTTTAAAAATCATAAGCATGTCCATGTGTACTACCCAACCCTTTGCTTTCAACTAAAAATACTTGCCAAGATGACAAAGCAGTCCTCAACCAAAATATTTATTGGTAGAATTACTCTGTAATTAGTAATATTGTGTAGTTATGTTTAACATCAGGTTTTGCTCTGAATCACTACTCTCATATTACTGTGGCTAGAGAACTACAAGCGTTTTTATCTTTACCATTTTATTTAGGAATGTGAGGTTTATATTTTATATAGTAGAATGCTAAATATTTTTAAAGATTTGACTTTGTTTCTGTTTCCACAGGAAGGTATGGGCCTTTTTCTTTGTTGTTTTGAACTGAAGTAGTGTTTTTGAAAGCTCTGTGTGGACTTTTTAGAAGAGCATGCCTTGCTAATATTTTTATAAGGCAATATGGTAATTTATAGGGATCGATATTGCTGAGAGTCAAATTTGCATTTCTAAAATCTGTATTTTTACTGGAGAAAACAAAGGAAATGTGCCTACATCCCCCGCCCCACCTTTATTTAGAAACATTTCCAGTGGCTTGTTTGTTTTTTCAGATTCAGAATTACTGTACCTAACCACTGGGTACCCTTACAGATTTAAAAGCTGTAAGTAAATGTTTATGTTGGCATCAGTAGTCTAGCAAATACTAGCCAAACCCTAATTTACTGCCCTTTTATAGAATCTTGGAATTTCAGGGCTGGACCTTTAGGAGTCAGCAAATCCACTTTCAGACCTTGTCCTTTTCCCCCAACACACAAACATTTCCAGACTCTTTGGAAGGCCTCAGTTAATAGAAGATTTGTATATGAATCCCCCACAGATTCCAGACAGAGCATCCCTTGGGAATGCCATGTTTTGGCACAAACCAGCAACTCAGTATTCATAAGATATCTATCATTCGTCTGACTGGGCAGTGCCCCAGACTAAAATCTCAAATGGAGTCATGGCTGCTGTCATTAGTTGTAGGGGAATGGCCTCCAAATATAAACGCTAGAGTTGTGTAGAAGTTACAGGTAAGCCAACAGGGAAACAAAGGAATCCTCTCTAATAGCTAGAAAGTGAGAACCAGTGCTTTTTAAAGTTTTTCTGTAAAGTGTGTATGTATGTTTATTTTATATGAGAGAGGGAATATATTTATATATATATATGTGTATATATATTTGTTATGTGAAGTGTCTATAACACTGTACTTAATACATTTGAAAATCTGTTCATTGAACCTTTAATATTTTGGAGGTGATTTTAATGAGGATTCTTTGAAAGTTGGAGTTGACATAGAACTTGGTACTAGTTCATGTAGAAATGCCATGTAGGCAATATTTCATATAGGGGATTGGCTTTTCTTGCTAGTGGGTATTGTTTCCCCTTGATCTGTGTTTGGAATGAGACCTGTGTGGGTTTCTTAGATGTGTTTTTCATGTCTAGAAGGGTAGATAATTAATATAAAATTTCTCTAAATACCCAGTGTTTGGGATAGTATTCATTTTAATGAGAATTTTGGTGCTTTTCTCAATTTTCTTATTTTTAAAGTGATGTCTCTCACCTGTTAGTATAAGCACAATAGTTTATGACATACTGCTTCTGGATGTTTTCCCTGAAGATTGAAATTGGGCTAATTTCATATTCTCAGTTACTTTTAAAACAGAAATCGTTTTCATTTCACAGATACCGCTCTATGTATTAGTGTTTTTTCATTTCAGCACATAGAGCCATAAAGGTCTAAATGTATATAGATGGTCCCCCCAAATGATTTTTATAGTAATACGGGATATGTTTAAGGAATAAGAATTTTTTTTAAATCTTTTTTTTTAATGTTTATTTTTGAGAGAGACGGTACAAGCAGGGGAGGGGCAGAGAGAGAGGGAGACACAGAATTTGAAGCAGACTCCAGGCTCAGTTATCAGCACAGAGCCCGGTGCGGGGCTTGAACTCACAGACTGTGAGATCATGACCTGAGCTGAAGTCGGATGGTTCTAAAAAAAAAAATTTTTTTTAATGTTTATTCATTTTTGAGAAAGAGAGAGAGAGAGGCAGAGTGTGAGTGGGGGAGGGGCAGAGAGAGAGGGAGACACAGAATCTGAAGCAGGCTCCAGGCTCTGAGCTGTTAGTACAGAGCCCAATGCTGGGCTCACACTCACGAAGTGCGAGATCATGACCTGAGCTGATGCTGGTTGCTTAACTGACTGAGCTACCCAGGAGCATCTTGGGGAATAAGAATTATCTTTTTATTTGCTCTGAGAAATAGCATCAGTAAGATGTTAGGTAGCCAAGTTAATGTTTTGCACATGTAACTAATTTCAGTGTCATGGGGATGGTTTTTGTTCTT